AGAACTTAATTTCACAATTAATCTATGTTGTAAAACATTGTTTGAGTATAGAAAAGAATAAGATTTTTTTTTTTTTATTTTTTTTTCTTAACTACACAAAAATGTCTAAAATAATTAAACATTAGACTTTTGTGACCTTGACTTATGCACCGATTATTTGAGTCCTTGACTTATTATCACATTTAGAAGAATATAAAATTCAAAAATTAGTTTTCGCTTATAGAAAATGAGAAAATATAATTAAATGCATGCGACTTTTGTTCAAGAGTGATACAATTTTCCTTTGATACTGTGGCTGCGAGACAAGATTTAGAATAAACTATAATCATGACCAACAAAAAAAAAATGGACTTACAAACAAAATTAAATTAAAATAAATTAGATCCATATGTAAGCTAATTGTGTCGGCTGGTTAAAGTTTTGTATATACTTTGAGTTTATGTGTGCTACGTCTGATTTGTATAAATTGTTAGCTTATATATAGTATTGATTTTCTGAAGTTAAAACAAGCCAATTATATGGTTTGTTTAAGATAATTTTTTAATAATTCCTTTATATTAGTGGCATAGATTCTTCAACTGTAAATTTATGATTTTTTTTCTTTTTATCTGTATTTCTAATCAATGGGTTTCAAGGCAATTTTATGAATTCCAAAAATAAAATCAAATAAATAAATAAAATCTACATGTCACTAAGATTTTGTATTATGTTTGTCATCCAGCCAGGGTGACGGGTACTTCATTGCACGGGTCCACATAGGCCCAAACTTAATTGGGCTTGGTGAACCGACTCTGATACCATGAAGAAAACATGGGTTGACGTGTGCGGTACCACAGACATGAAGCGCACCAAAACAGAGTGAGCCTAGATGGCCCTTAGTACGTGGGGTTCCAAAAACAAATTGGTGGTATGATGAATAACCAACTAGACTTATAAGTTAGACCCATTTTTTTTTTATTTTTTTTTGGTACAAAGTTAGACCCATTTTCGATGTATAAACGATGCAGGAAAACCCACAAGTGTATATTTTAACAAATAAGTTGATTGCTAACAATAAAATTTGAGTAGATAAATGAATTAGCTAAATATAGTTGTTTTGATATATAAAATGAAATAATTTTACAATCAGCTATTTCAAAATATATATATAAATGTCTTTCCCAAATTAAAATTCAGAAAGCTATATTTTAAAACCACTAAATAAAACCTATTTATTTAGTGATTTATAATATATATAGCTCTCTGAATTCCAATTTCGAAAAACCTTTTATAAATACAATCTTTTGAAATAGATGATAAAAATTAACTATATCATATTCTTCTTTTTAGTGGTAAAGTAGTATATATATGTTCAAAATAATCATCAAAACATTTTTTTTTTTTATAATTAATTTTAGTCAGCAATCAAGATAACAAAGGGTGGCAATATACATACATGCAGAATCTAAACCGAAGACCTAAATTTTGTAGGTTAATTTTTATATAACTAAAGTT